ATTTGGCCCAGGTTATGCACAGTATATATGTGACTGTACGAAATGAAAATGGAAAATAAAAACACATTTACAAAAAAAAAGTGTTAAAATAAATAAAGGCATTGAAATAAATAAATAAATAAAAATAGATGGGGGCGAGGCCAGTCAGAGGTGGTATTTACCAGTTCTCCGAACTACTCAAAATTTCCGCTACCGGTTCTCCAGAACTGGTCAGAACTTACCACTTCTGATGCACAGCCCTAAAAGTTATCCCAGAAATCCCCAAGTGAACAAACATATATCCTTATCTACTCTTGATTTATTTTGTGAACTCAGAGGGAAGGATAAAGCCTCCAATGTTACTTTCCTTCATACATACAGATCAAAGGTGGAAATGTAGTGAAGTTGTCACATCATGTCCTGGGATTTAGGTGTATTTTCCTCAAATTGTTATTTTCAGTAGCAGGTTAATGCATTGTTCTAGGTCCTTCAGTCTTAAACAAACCATTCTTACATAGCCTTCTGATTGCCAAGCTAGTCTGAATAGTATCTTTTACATTTATTTTTAGAAATGTGACAGTAAGGATGTGCCACAACCTGCTGGGCATGTGATTACATCTGAATTGAATGTTGCAATTAATCCTTTCTATCTATTCTATCACCTCCTCCTCTACACCCCCCTTGTTCTAGCACATATGCACTCATATATAAGCCAAGAAGCCAGAGAGGAATATTCACATAGTCCCAAAGGATTAGCTTCCAGATGCTTGGAGAAGTTCCACATATCTCCATATCCATATACTTAGCTTAATCCTGAGTCTGGGCCACCACCTGGCATTTGGAAATCCCTAGTACAGGTCCTGTGGGGGGTAAAAGGACAATATGCAACAGAAGGCTCCAGCCAGAGAAATGTCCTCTAGTTTTCCATCCATTCTTTATGTTAACATTCATGGCTGCTGTCTTTACCATATTAATTAATATTAAAATATGGTTGACTCACTCTTAAAGGATCTCAGTCTTTAGGGACTAGCAGACTGAGTACCTAGTCCAGTGATGGCTAACCTTTTTGCCATCGCGTGCCGAAAGCAAGGGGAGCACGGGTGGGGAGGCACCCACACCCATAATTCTATGGGCCTTCTTTCCGCTTTTGGCACGCGGGACCCGTTTTTCACCCTCCCCAGGCCCAGACCTATTCTAGGAGCCTGGGGAGGGCGAAAAAGGCCACTCTCCCTCCCGGTGGCTGAAAACGGCCAATTTGCTGACTTCTGGTTGGACTAGAAGGTCAGTTTTTCACTCTCGCCAGGCTCCAGAGTAACGGCCTCCCCCCCACCCGGCGGACCACCGGAGGCTGAAACTAGCTGGTTTTCGACTGCTGGTGGGCCCAGAAGGCCCCAAAACCAGCTGGCCGGCACACACATGCGCACCGGAGCTGAGCTTGCGTGCCCACCGATATGGCTCCGTGTCCCATCTGTGGCACGTGTGCCATAGGTTCGCCATCATGGACCTAGTCCTTCCGGAGGTTGAAAACAGTCCTTCAGTTCATTTCATATGCATCAGGTTCCTCAACCTTGGCAAGTTTAAAATGTGTGGACTTCAATCCCAGAATTCTAAGGTGCCATGTTGGCTAGGGAATTCTGGAAGGTGGCGTGCACACATCTTAAAGTGACCAAGGTTGGGAAACCTGATGTTTACATGTTCCCTACATTCAAATGTTTATAACTTTGTCTCTCCACCTCAGATCCTGGGCTTGGGATTCTGCTTCTTTTAAGAACTGGATTTGTTTAAACAACAAACACATGCTAATTGAGCAAGTAACATTTCCTCCCTGTTTTTACTTTCTTCAAATGGCTGCTGCTGAAGCCCTGTTCCTGTACCACACCCTATTTCTAAACAATTTCACTTATCAGATTCCAAGGACCCCAGGCATTTAAATATACATAAAAGAAAGTATCTCACATAGCTTTGAAATATGTATGGAAAAAAAAACCTCAATAAAAAACCTTCAATCACTGTCAGCCTCTCCCGTATAATAGGCATAATAACAGCGGCTTCAGTGATCATGTACACATGCATGTTAATGAGCTATCACAGATCAAACTCCCACAGTAAATGGCAAGATTAACCTTCATATAAAGCTTAAATGGAATGATTTTCTCCTCATGGTTACGATTGCCAGGCAGAAAAAAAGCATGCAATTTTGTTAAATTGGTCACACTCTGGTCAGCTTGGACATGTGGTGAAAGAACATGTGTGATCAGCACTCAGAGTATTGTTATATGGCTTCTGCCTGGAAAACTTGCTCAGAAGCACCTGTGATTTAATTTGTACATGACATGCCCTTGGAACAAGTGCAGGGGATAAGCTTTCTTGCAAGTTGAATATTCATATTCAGAATGACAGGCTAATTTCTATACAGTTGCACTTCATTTTTACTCCTGACTTTCCTACATGCACACATACTTGCAACTGGATCTCCGAATATCTGGACTGGGCAAGAACATTGCCAGAAATAGATTAACTGGTATGACTCAAACACTGTGCAGGTACAACAGGCACAACAGGGTTAGGGGATGTGGGTGTGTAAACGTGCCCCACCCTAATTTTCCCACGCACAGTTTCTGTACTGATCTTTGCACAGATCCTCACTCCGAGTCTGGGAAGCCTGCTTATCTGGTTCTCCAGTCATCAGTCAGGGCTGTAATGCAAGTATGTGTGATAGTATCTCCCAAATCTATTAAATACTACATGTTTGCAGGTGAATGCTTTTAGGCACATTTTTTTATGAAAACATGTTTGCATGTTCAGTATTTAAGAAGTTGAATACTTGAAGGATGTCTTCAGTACTAGATCTGCAAGGAATGGCCTGTGCAAGTTGACCACTAAAGATCAAGCAGCATCACTCAAATGTGATCATATTAAGAGAAGGATCTGTATGATAACTTAGATAAAAAAAATCAAGTGACATACAGTGACATCTTGTTGATACTTGTTGATTTTTGGAGTGCATAGATGGGCTTGCTTCTTTGGATACATTGAGTTTGTAGCTCCTTAATTCCCAATCAACATTCTGGCTGGAAAGTTAGAAACAGCTGTTCCAATGCATTTGCAGGATGCCAATAGGGGGAACACTAATCTCATGTTCTAAAAGCCATCTGATACCAATAAGTCTTCAGCTTACAGATTCACTTTATGCTGTACATTCAGGATACTTCCATTAGCCATCCTCGGTTAGAATCCAACCTATATTTAAGTGACATTTATGCACAATAAAAAAGCCAATCTTAACAGGTTACTCTCTTGGATCAAAACAGCAAAATAACCAAGACTAACCTAAAGGTAGATATCTTGTCTGCTGGTTTTCACAGTCGGCTGTCTCAGATGGGTGAAGTTTTGCCCTCCTTTGCCTAATGATACCTTGGATATAGAGAAACCAATTAGAGACATAAGATCAAATGCCCACAAAAAGCATGAGGCATAGTTAATAATATTTCAGTGTAAAACTTAATTGAGTAGAGGTAATTAAGGCAGTGATGTTGACTGATGTCTATAGCAAGTGATGGAAAAACTCGGTATAGGTTAAATAATATTTATGAGAGGAAACTACCAGAAATCTCAGGATGTTAGTCTCAACTAGGAAGTAAAAAGATATTCTGAGGAAAAATGTAATGGCACATCACTTCTGTATTGTTACCAAGAAAACTACAACTAAAACTGCAACTCCTTAATCACCAGGAATCAAGGGCAGCTAAACAGAGACGTTACCTTCAATTGGTGACAAATTACATCTGAATAAAATGCTAAGGAGGAAAAAAAATAAGAATGGACAAATTACATCTTAGGAATTTGTTCTTTTTTTCCCCCCTTCCTAGCATTTTGGCACAAGTTCAAGGTTTCCCCTTCTTCAACAACCTAGTGTTGATCTATCGGGTGCGAAAGGGATTGACTGATCTACTTGTCACCAGAGCCTGAAGTCATGGGCTAGGAGAGAGTGACTGGCCTAAAGTCATCTAGCCAGCTTTCATACCTGAAGTGGAAGAGTCTCCTGGTTTCTAGACTACCGTCTTAACCACTAGACCAGTGATTCCCAAACTTGGCAACTTTAAGACTTGTGGACTGGCTGGAGAATTCTGGGAGTTGAAGTCCACAAGTCTTAAAGTTGCCAAGTTTGGGAACCACTGGTCTAGTGGTTAAGACGGTAGTCTAGAAACCAGGAGACTCTTCCACTTCAGGTATGAAAGCTGGCTAGAGGACTTTAGGCCAGTCACTCTCTCCTAGCCCATGACTTCGGG